ATCTTCAGAAGAAGTTCATTGTAATGATTTTGCCAACTCTGTTCTTTGGGATGAGGTACCATCTAGGTCTGATGTTGACAATCTGTTTCTATCTGTGTTGCCAGAGTGCGTCATCTTTGATACCACCAGTGAGGTGAGTGCCAGGGTTGTCRTGAACATGATTGCCATAGATTTCATCCAGTTTGGGATCCCCCTCAGTGAGCCCGGAGATCYGCCCCAGCATCCAGAACTGGAAGATCTGGCCAAATAGTGGTTGGATGATTAGGGGGTTGAGAATCTGGAGGCCTTGGTGTTTTGGCACGGCGTGGAGGAAGAGCTGCCCTTGCCGCTCTTTCCTCATTTATCACCTGCACCTCTTCCATAGTCCTATTTTCAGCCTCTGTATGGTGATGAGGAGTCTCATTCCTTCTCTGCTGTTGCTGGTGTTGCCCCCTGCACCTAGCTTGTGCCCTTGARTCCAATMGTCTTTGAGGTGTAGATTGAGCCTCCAAATTGGCCTCCAAACACACCTCCAAAGCCTCCAGAAGTTGAGCTTCCATGTGCCTCAGAGGTGCCAATTGACCCTTTTGAATGAGGTGCCAGGCAAGGTGTCAAAGCAGCATGATGTGCCTCATGCAAAGAAGCTTCTACAGRAGCATTATTTGCTGCACTCAATGAAGCCTCCACAAAAGCCTCCATAGCAGTAGTACAAGCCTGTAAATCCAATTGCCTTGGAGGTGCAGACCAAGMCTCCAACTGTGCCACSAAAGGTGCTGCCACRTGCSCTTCCAAATGAGGCCCCAGGCAAGCCGTCACAGCATCACTATTAGCAGCTGTCAAAGTGTTGRCCTCCACAAAAGCCTCTGGATCAGCATTAGCTGGGGMGCCAGCCTCTCCAGTTTCAGCTGCGTTTGCAGACGCAGACRCTGCAGCCTCTGAAGAGGTCCTTGCCAAAGAAGAAGCCTCCAAGAAGCCTCCAGAGGAGGCRCCAGAGCAGCATTTGCTGCGTTAACAGTGTTAGCTATACAAGCAGCGGTGTTTGCAGCATTGTTAGCTGCAGAAGCAGAAGCAAGAGCAGCTTTTGCATTGGTTGTTGTAGTTGTAGCTGCGTTTGTTGTGTTAATTGCTGCAACACACAGAGCAGCGCAAGCTGCTTTGTTTGTTGCAGTGGTTGGCAAATCCAGAGCAGTAGGATCTTCCRTACTGGCGTCCTCCTCAGCAGCTAATTATTATCTGCATCATAAGCCAAATCAGTATCGGATGAATTCAACARAACCAAAGGATCCTCCAAAAATKCACTGTGTTGGGCCCCTGCACACTCATCCACAGCAGCAGTGGAGYGATTGCACTTGGGTCCCCTGATGGTTGTACCCCTTCCAAAATGCTTCACTTGTGCAATGGCTGCTGGTAACCATGTATCTGAATCCTGTGTCAATGACTAAGCCCTGCTGGGCCTAAGCGTATCTGTGTTGTTGATGCTGTTGTCCTGTTGCCCCACAGGTGCAATCCCTTGCTTGAGGGGGGGGATCAGGCCTGTCCTGGAGCCCCTGAAGGGGGACCAAACACTGCTGGATCGGCCCAAAGGGGGATTGGGCCAATAGAGCAGGAGCGTTGATGGGGAGGGGGAGGGGGGATTGCTGRAAGAAAGAGCCAATAGCTGAGGTGTAGGCCTCCATTTTTGTCATTACAGGGGTGTAACAAGGATTGGAGGGTGGTACTTGTTCTCCAACCATCCCWACAAGAATTACCACTACCACTACAACATTTGTTGATGGCACCCCTGATGGAATACTTCCCTGTGATGATTCTTTTGRTAGTGACAGAACCTTTGGTTGTTGTGCTACCATGACAGAAGAGGAACCAAAGGAATTTGAAGCGTTCAAGAAGGCCAAGGCAGATAATGATAGCAAAACTAATAAGGCTATTGCTAGGGACAGGAAGAAGGAAATTTCCAAAGTCCTGCAAGGGGAGGTCTCCAAGCAATTGAAGGAGAGGCTCAAGAAATCTTGGTTTGGAAGCGTTAAGTTTCTGGAGAAGAAGCTTGTCCCTCGTATCCAGAATGCCATTATGGAAAAGAATTGCGTTGTCAAACCCAACAAAGAAGTTAAAATCAAGATTTCAAAAATGGCTCAAAAGTGAAATACAAATAGGATTAGCAAGTTTGTGACACAACAGTCAAACTTTGGCAAGGAAAACTGGTTAGGTAGGGCATTATTATCTCAACGGGGAGAAATAGGACCTGTTGAGAGAATGAAACATTGAAAATTTGATTGAAATAATCCAAAATAAGATTTGAAAACTTGTACCATAGGATTCTAATGTACTGTAAAAACATTAACTCAACCACACCAAAAACAGAATTGAAATAAATTGGAACTTTACTCAATCTTTTCTACCATGGAATTAAAAAATACAAATTGCACTCAGGAATAAAAATAAATTGGCACCTGGTAACTTGATATTTCCACAGCAGCCTCCCATAATGTTTGGAATTAATTCTGGACCCTTAACTCATCAAAGATTTTTTTAAAAAATAATTGAAAAGTGAGGTAGTAAGTCCAGTCAGGATTCTAAACCCACATGATATTTTGCAATTTTCACTAACAAAATATGTTCATTCAGGGGTACAGAATAGGTACAAACCCTKAGAATAAACAAAAAATTTAGGGATCAAAAAACAGTTAACGGACATAATCTTCATTCAGTACAAATCACATTTGAGGAAAAAGATCATCAAGTATCTCTGGAGGGGAAGGGGGGGCTCCAGAGCCCCCTCCTTGGGGGGAACAGACCTATGCATAAATATTTGAATCTTTCAACCAATTCCTGCATCAATGCCTTGTTGTTTGATTAGTAGCTCCACCATTTAATTTTGAGATTGCCCCTTACAATTTCCAGCTTYCCCCAAGACAGTCAGTGCTTCTRGGCACAAGCTTTTGGGCCTATGAAAAAGCAGCTTTCCATGGTGTCTTGGTGCCTCCTAGACATTGGAAAAGTTTCTATTAATTCAACGCTGGTCACTCCTCTTGTGGAATGTCTGGAGGACAGACAGAGTCTGGGGAGCTATTGCTGTATCAATAGACATCCTTATTTATCCCTTCCGGTGCTTTCAACTCTCTTTGCAGCTTCTTGTTTGCAGTATCCTCCATTATCAAATAGGGTTGTCCTCTTCACAGGAGGTATTGTTCTTGATCAATTTCCTTGAGGAGAAAATGTGATTAATACATTGTGATCTCACCAGCACCAGGGGTGAATCTACCAAGCATCCTCCTGATCTAACAGAGATAGAACAAATGAATTAAGAAGGGGGTGTATTCAAAGCACATCCTGTCTTTGATTCTTGGAAACTGTCCTTTTATCACCCTCATCCCCCATTCCAACATYGGTCTCAAGGAAGTTGCATCCCTATCCAACAGAAGATGGTTGTCTTTTTTAGGATCCTTCTTTGAGCTCTTGATGAGGATATGTTCCTTTTCCTTCAGTGCAAAGGGCGGCAGAGCCARCAAAAACCTTTGCATTGAAGGCATCATGAATTTCCTYGATCCTTTGGTAGACACCATGATCAGATAGTAGCACTGTCATGCCAAAGACCTGGGCAGTTGAAGACTGAGTTCCTGATCCTTCCATCAGGCACAAAGACAAACACACTAGTATTGATGAAKGTGCTTCCCTTCCATGTGTTGYAGAATGGTTTTTGCTTACACCAGACTTGAGAGGCTTGGATGGCATTCTTTGAGTCCATCAGCTGCAGCCCAAATGC